CCAGGCCTAGTATCTGAGCTCTCAGTAGAATTTCAGGGACACGGACATTGGATTACAAGACACCTTGTGCTGCCCATGTCCCCGATCATCCAAATGTCATGGGCAGCTGTGACTTACTCCTGCCTAATCAGTGATGCTGGGTGCAAACATAAACAAGGAGCATCTGTCCCAGTGTCTGAAGCCTTGGCCCCACTAGTGACATGTTCCATATAAGGGCCACTTTTTTCTGCTCAATAATTGAAACAGTAGTATTAGTAATACTGTTATCTATAATACTGGGGTAAGTGAGAAAGTTCAGGGAAAGTAGTTTTGTCCTTGGGACATTCCAAGGTAAACAATTATATGTACCCCGCAGCTGAACCGGCAGAAAAGAAAAATTTGAATATTATCATTAAGCCAGCTCAGACCCAGGCCTGATGGCAAAGGAGCCAGGTTGCCCTGAGAATACTGTCATTCTAGGAGTCTTTTCAACTCTTCATTTTTTTTAAGAAGATTTTATTTATTTGACACAGAGAGAGAGAGAGAACACACAAGCAGGTGGAGTGGCAGGCAGATGGAGGGAGAAGCAGACACCCCGCTGAGCAAGGAGCCCAATGCGGGGCTTGATCCCAGGACCCTGGAATACTGACCTGAGCTGAAGACAGACGCTTAACAACTGAGCCACCCAGACGCCCCAACCCTTCACTTTCTAAACACCTGACTCAGCACTCAAAAGCCACGATGGGAAGATGAGTAATACTGCTGGGAAAGAACTTCCCTTCTACTCCAGGGAACAAACATGTAAACAAATACACGTGATTAATTTGTCATGAATCATAATGGAAGAAGAGCATGGGCGTGGCTCTGAGACCTGAAAGTGACAGGTTTTCTGTTTGTTTGTTTGTCTGAACATGTAAAATCTAAGTGTACAAATGGAACATTCTTTGCTAAAAACCTTCCCTCTGGGAAGCAATCCTCTTTTCATACTGCTGTCCCATCTTCATTCCACCCCTGCAAGGATATCAAATAAAGACCCATACAAGAAAATGCCTCATTGCTTTATACCAGCAGACAAACATGGTACCACCCTGCCTGTCCTTCATTTGGTAATGAAGGGCTTTTTTGCTCTTTCAGAAAAACACACGTAAGTTAAAAATCAAACTCCTCTTTCAAATCAGGCCATGCCATCCTCTGAAGATACTGGAAGACAACAACAACAAAATGTAAGCCTCAGAAGGCAATTAAATCTCACAGCTATGTGTGCATTATCAGCATGTAAGGCCTAGCAGGCTGAAGACTTGGACAGGCAACTCTCATGTGAGAAGCACACAAGTTCTACTGGTTATGGAGGGTGGGGGGTGTCTGCCTAATCGCCTCATTCTACGGCTACAACTTTGATGCTTCCAATTCTGTTTCAGGCGTGTCTCCTCTTCATCTTCCTAAGTAGCAAGCCAAGCCCTTGAGGTCAGGCTGCCTTCCAGTTTTGGATGTAGTGAATGCCTTACGACCAGGGAGGCTGGTGGGCATCGGGGAGAGTTTGGGGTGCTCTACGCCAGGGCCCCCCATCAAACCCTTTAATGAGGGACAATGTGGAATGCTCTAAATGCTTTTAAAAGGAAGCTCAGAACAGTGTGAGAAGAGAACCCATTACATTTCCCTCATTATCTTAATGTCCAGGTTCTTTTAACCTGTCCTTAATGATGAGACTCTGGGCAATGAGAAGACACAATCTTCCCCTGTGTGACTGAGGCCTCGGGACACTGGCTGTGCTCTAGCTTCAATGCCCAAGCCACCTCCTCCTCTTCCCAGCACTGTCTGTCCCATAGCCAAAGACTTGGAAGCTGCTCCAGGGTAAGCTTCCTGGGCACAGACTTTGTTTATCTAAACCAAGGGTGTCGTTAACACCTGTAGCCTTACCTGCTACTTCTTTTTTTTTTTTTTTTTTAAATGAACCTACGAGGGTGGGTCCTAATCCAATCTCCTGTCCTTTTTTTTTTTTTAAGATTTTATTTATTTATTTGGCACTTACCTGCCTGTTTCTGATTAACCTTATCCAGGTATGGGGTTTGGGTATGATTACCAGCCAAGCAATCCTGGAGGCTTGGGGGTCAAGAATCCAACACGGAATGGGGAACATGAGGTTGATGGGAGTGGGGTGGAAGGTTTCTGACCCATTCAAAGATTCTGGGGGTCTGTGGTGTCATTGGTCATTTTTAAGACTCCATTGGCTCAAATATTCATACACCACACTCCTTCTAACATATTTCTCTAAAGTTCTCCAGACTTCTAACCAGATTAGTGATTTAGCTTGTGAAAGGTTAATGACCAAGGAAAGTAAACTGGCGTCTTAGGAATGCAGATGGCTCAAATCAGCTGCTGTTCCTGTTCCCCTGGGGACAAACACTGCATTGCCATTCCCAGCAAGAGTGACCTGTGGACACTGCGAGAGCTCCTGACACCTGCAAATAAGCTAGTGTGGGCACCTGCACAGACTCTCTCTAGATCCTGGTTTGAAGGCTGATGCCAAACTCAACCTCAAGAGGAGTTTACCTGGTGAGAAGCATCACTTTTTGCCAGACCCCAGGGGTGTCAAAAGATGAGAGAAGTCACATTCCACTAATTTTTGAGTACTCAGCATGGTACTGAGATCAATCACTAGGAGCTGGTTAGAAATGTGGAATCTCAGGCCCAAATCCAGAAGCTATAGAATCAGAATCTGCGGAGTGCCTCGGTGGCTCAGTGGGTTAAGCCTCTGCCTTCAGCTCAGGTCATGATCCCAGAGAATCAGGCTCTCTGCTCAGCGGGGAGCCTACTTCCCTCTCTCTCTCTCTCTCTGCCTGCTGCTCTGCCTACTTGTGATCTCTCTCTGTCAAATTAATAAATAAAATGTAAAAAAAAAAAAAAAAGAATTAGAGTCTGCATTTAAGTGAGGCCCCCAGGTAATTTATACTTAATACATTGATGCATGAGAAGCAGCACTCTAGACGGGAGCAAAAGGGTGCCAGAAATGACCTTTTCTTAGGTTAAGCTTCTTTGCCTTGGCAAAGACATAGGATGAAGTCGGGCTTTGGAGGAAGACTCTAAGCCTTGTCTAACTGAGGCAGACCAGACTCGCTCACGTTAGCAGAAGCAAGATGTGGTTTTCAGGTTATGGACTGTGAGCTGTGCCTGTCCCACTGAACACTCCAAACAAGAAATCTGGCTTCAGGCTCCTGGCACAGCTAGCTTTCTCCCAGTTGGTCTCAGACACAAAGTTACACTCTGGTCCAGGTGCTCCTGTCCCTCTCTCCCAGCTAAAGACTTTCAAAGGCAGGGAGATTTGTTCTGGTTTATAAAACAACAACAACAAAAAAACTAAAAACAAACAAACAACCCCCCCCCAAAAAACCCATTTCCCAGTCCATGGTGAGAAATGGATCAGATTTCCCTATAAACAGTAACCCTGGCCATGGCTTCCAATCTGACCTGTCCCCATCCAGCAACAAAGGGTGCAAGAAAGAGCACTTGAGCCTTCAGACCTGCCTCATTGCCCACCCTAAAAAGATCAAGTAAAGATTCACAGCCTCACTTGAAGGAACCCCAAAACTGTCAGGAAAAATCCTGGTAGACATAGCATGACACAGAGGAGGCCCACCAAATGGACTACGTAAAAGACCTATATAGCAGGGAAAGAGAATTTAAGTCAAGGGTGGAGAAAGAACGCTCGCTGAGAAATTTTCCTTAATCATTTTTAATAGAGGAGAGAGCATTTCCCCCCTCTATGCTTGGATACGGTTTCTTGTTCAATCTGAGAAAGCTGTGCGACCCTGGACAAGGGACATGTGTTTTCAAGTTTGGGGCCCGGATGAAACAAGTACATCTATGATCCTTAACAGTTCTAACGTTGTATGTTTTGGATCAAAGGGCTCAAGACCTCGGATCTGGCAGTGCTTGCTGGTGGTGGGACCACTGCCTGAGAAAATAAGCATGTGGCCCCCGAGGCTGCCAAGGGACCAGGCTGCCGCCCTCTGCCAGCGTCCGCCTGCACCTCTGCCTCAAAACGGAGCGCCACTATCTGCGGTGTTTTCGAGTAATTTGGCCTATGGGCCGGAGCGGTGGAGGAGGGTGGAAGGGAGGGGAGAAGGGCAAAGCGGGGTGAGGGCAAAGCGGGGTGAGAGCAGCTCGAGCATGGTAGGGAAGTGTGAGCCACGAGGATTTCATCATGCAAACGGGCAGGCGGGTTTCATCAGCGCCTGTGCGCCGGGGCTCCCGGGCTGGGAGGGAATGCCCGGCTCCCGAGGGCAACCCAAGTCTGGCCCCCACCCGTGCCAGCTCAGCTTCCTCTTCCTCATGCACTTTCAGGGAGGTCACACGGTTCCCCCTCCCCCCGGACAGAAGAACGTGTTTTTCTGCACAGCCCTGCCGGCCGCCCCACGTCCCTCTGCGGAGATCCCACATGCGCATATGGGCAAGCTGCCACAGGTGCAGGTGAGGCACGGCCGGGGCAGGCGAGCGTCCTCAGCCCAAATCCTCCGTCAGAGGGTGCTGGCCCACTGCAAAACTGGGGGTGCCTCAGGAAAGAAAAAGGATTCTGCAAGAGTCGTTTATCCCAACAGAGAACGCCCATCCCCATCCCCTAAAAACCCCAGGCCAGGCCTCTCCTTACTCCCAGGCCACACTGACCCCACGCTGTGCTGCCTCAGAACGCCCCCACACCCACAAGGGGCAGCACACCTCAGCATGTGGTCGGTCTGGAAGCGTGCTGCCGGTTTGGGCAGGGGGACTCGGCTGTCTCTCCCGAGAGGAAACGAATGGAGCAGTTTGCAGCCCGGGCTCGGAAGCACGCATCCAGAGGGCAGGCAGTGGGAAGCGGCCATCTGCTGGCTCCCGATGGCCAGCTCCGTGACCGTCGCTGCCCCCCTGATGCCTTTATTCCAGTCACCGCGCCCCTCAGCCCGCTCGCCCCGTCTGACTGGCGGCTCCCGAACCCTCTTGCACTGCCCAGTCAGTCCGCGCCGTCCGCACCGGGAGCCCGCGCCTACCTCCCGGGGTGGTGCTGAAGAGCGTGCCGCCGGGGGTGGTGCTGTAGTCCCCGGGCGGCAACTGCACGCCGTCGCCGAGGATCACCCGGCGAGTGGCCGGGATGGCCCGACTTGGGGTCTGGCTGCAGCCGCTGCCCCCAGACATGGTCTCTCTCGCGCAGAGCCCACAGCCGGAGCGTGGCCCTACGGCCGCCCGGGCCCCTCCCGCTTCGCCTTGTCCCGCCCCCCGCTCACCCCTTCCGCCTGTGAGCCTCGGCGCCCCCTGGGATTTGTAGTTGCCGCGGCGCAGCTGCCGCACCCGCCTCCGCGCGGCAGCCCGTACGTGCGTTCCTCCGCAGCTCAGGTCCGAAGCGCCCTCTCGATCGTCTCCCGCGCGAGGGTGTGGGCGCCGCCTCGCTTCGGCCCGCCCCTTTCGCTCGCGGGTGCCTCCCGCCACGCTGGCTGCGACTGGCTGCGGGCGGGGGCCGGCGGCTTGTGTAGGTCAACGCCTCGCGGGGCGGGGGCGGTGTTCTGGGCTGTGCGGTGATCCCGGCAGCCCCGGCTCTGGGGAAGGCCTAGATTCTACAGGAGGACTTGGGGCGGAATGGTCCCCTCAACCCTTCTTATTCCGTGCTTTAGTTCCTCGGATGAGAAAGTGCGGTGTAATTGGTCATTCACCCCTCACTGGCATTTTGAGGCTTCGCGGTGTAAAGAAATAACCAAGAATGGGCATTCGGTGGCTTGGGGGACGGGGTGGGAGGACGCGTGAACAAGCCTCCCAGCTGGGTCATGAGGACTAACGCTAGAGCCGAGGTGGAGCTGACAGGGTCTGGACGTCCGTGGTGGCACGGGGGCGGGGAGCTAAGAGCTGGCCAGCGAGGTTCCCTGTGGCCCTTTGAGTTGGGGTACAGGGGTCCACACGCAGCCTGACAGTAGAGCCTCCTTGAACGAACGATGACTGAGTCTTCAAGGAGCTCTCCAAGTGGGGATGGAAAATGCCAGGAGGGCGGAAAAGCCCGTCATCGGGTGAGAGAACAGTTTCTGTCATGACGGTGACATCATGCAAGGGGAAAGGAGACAGGAGAACAGTTTAAAAGAAAAATGGGGTGGGGGGGCACCTGAGTGGCTCAGTTATGATCCCCCAGAGGTTAACTCAGAGGTTAAAGCCTCTGACTTCGGCTCAGGTTATGATCCCCCGCATTAGGCTCTCTGCTTGGTGGCGGGCAAGCTTGCTTCCCGGATGGTGAAGGGTCTTTTTTAAAGCATGCCAAGGTGTTCAAACTTTGTCCTAGGGAGGGAGGAGATATCAGAGATCTCTTAAGCTGGGAAGTGACACGATTAGGGTGGCTTTTTCAGAAAGATAGCTGGAGGCTGTAGAGTTTGAGAGTGGACCCCCGGATCAGGCCCCAGATAGGAAGACTGGCTGGTCGCTAGGCCTCCACTTCCTACTATTAAGGCTGGTCTCTCGTGCCTATGCAGCAATTGAAATATGGCTAGTTCATATTTACAAGTGTAAAATACATAGATTTCAAAGATTTGGCATGAAAAAAAATGTAAAATATCTCAATTTATGTTGATGACATGTTGAGATAACATTTTTAATATATTGGATTAAATAAAATATTAAAATTAATGATACCTGTTTCTTTTTACCTTTTTTAGGTGGAATTATAAGAAATTATATGTATATTATATATATGTATATGGCTTATAATATATTTCTATTGGGCAGTGCTCCTCTAGAATGAGGCAGTAATGAAAGCAATCCTAAAGTTCTTCTCAGAAACTTCCTCTTGGAAAACCATACAATCATCAAATTTTAGCTTTGGCCAGGTACACAGTAGGTCGTCCAGGACAATATTCATCACCATCTTATTCATTCATTTGTTCATTCTCATTCATTCATTCATATTTATGAGGTAAAAGCTAATAATTAAGGAAAGAAAACTTTTCATTGGCACTAAGGTAAAAAAGAAATTCCAAAATAATTCTTATAATTTAAACTCAGTTTTCTTAAAAGTCTGTCCTGGCCAAAGATTAAAAACTAAAATGATCTGAAATAGTAAGTGGAATATGTCTTTCAAATGATCCTACATACGTATTTTCTTCAGTTTTTACAAATTGAGCTAAGATAAACTAACATTCTATGTGATAATCCTATAGTTCTACTGTGCAGAACTCACCACATCTTTTTTTTTTTTTTTAATTCACCACTGTCTTGTTTAAAAAACAAAAACCAGAGTCTTCGAGATGCAGGGGTTTGCCCAAGACCACACAGCTATGAAAGACCTGAGGCAAAGCTGGAAGACCCAGGCTCCCCTCCCTTCCAGGCCTGCCCTTCTGTCAACACACTGGAAAACAAAGTGGCCCATCCTCCTGCTTTAGGAGGAACTGGTTTGAAAGGGGGATTGTTCAGATGCCTTATTGGATGTGCATTTTTGGTTAGAGCTGAGCTTACAGGGAAGGCACCTGCTTAGCTCAACTCTCACAATGATCTCCACACACAGGTTGGAGAAGTTTCCATCCCATCTTGCTCTACTTGACCTGTAGGTAGGGAGGGACAACGAACGAAATTTATCATTTTAAGTAAGTGGAATTTCTCTGGGTAGCAAACCAGGCACACAGGTCTAGTCTTTCAGCAGCCCTGACTTCCCGGTATTGGTCTCAATACATCTCTGCTGAACTGGACCAATGCAGGGAAAGAGTGCCAACAGAGGGTCTCCAGGAGTGGCTGCTTGAGGAGGAAGTGGCAGGCACCACAAGAGTGAGACAGGCTTTCAGAGTCTTTAAACCACACTACAATACAGGCTGTTTTAGGATGCTCCTCAGGTTAGGGAGGAGTTTGAGGGGCCTAGGCAGTGGGAGAAAAGTGATCCATGTGTTAAAAAAAAAAAAAGTGACCCATGTGTTAGTTTTAATCCATTCCTAAGGTTATTTGATGCTGAAAACATTCCCCCTTCACCACTGGGAGTCCTTCACTTTAGCCAGTGCATCCTGTTGCCATGGCCCCAGTGGCCTCTGGAGGCTACTGCATTTTCTCGTTTTCTCATACAATAGGGCTTCCTATGCTTCTTGCCCCAGATCAAGATTCAACTATTTAAAAAAGACATGTTCAAAACAAAAGCAAAAAAAAAAAAAAAAAAAAAAAAGCTCATAAATAAAAAAAAAGAATAGTGGGTGCCAGGGACGAGGGGGGGGGGGGGGGGGGGGGGGGAAGGAATGGGTGAAGGGGGTCAAAAGTTACAAAAAAAAAAAAGACACATTAAAGAAAAGAGGCAGATTCTTCACTGACTAGAGGATAAACAGACTATCATTGAAAAGAAACATATCTTACTGCGAGAAATATCTTTGCTGTTTGTTACTGGAGGCAAAGCAGAAGTGAGAGTCATGGTATCACGGCCCATGAGCACTAAGGGGCTGAATGCTGTGGAGCCCAAAGACACAGCACGGAGGTCACATGAGCTAACATGAAGGAGTCTGTTAAAAAACAGAATTTCACTGAGTGAATTTGAAGATCTAATTGGCTTTGTGAGGTGATTTCCGAACTGGGCAGGACCTAGCAAGTAGAGGGATGCCCCTAGGAGTTGTGCAAAATGGAGGGTTTTTATAGGAAGGAGGATAGGGCAAGGGTATTACTAGCAAAGGAAAGGATGGTTACATTTTTTTGAGGGGGAAGGGGATAACGGAGTACTTATCATGGGGATTACCTTACCAGAGCTGATTTCAGAGGAAATTTCAGATCCACTGTTAAAAGGTCACATTCCTGGGAGAGGTTCAAACTGCAATGAGGTTTTGGTTTGCTGTGGTTGGGGACACATGACTCCATTTGAGGCTTCTCGTTCCTCTTTTAACAATTCCCAATGGTGAATTTAACATTTTAATATAGTTTCTGGGCTGGAGAGATTACAAAAAATTCTAATGGCTCAGAGCAGGGTCTGCAGTCTTTAAATGGACCTCGAGAGTAGGTTCTCAGGCTTAAGATCATCTTCTTCCCGTGTGGGAACCACACCTGGTGCTGGTGAGTGGCCATCTGGGATTGGCTTGCAGTTGCATCATCCCCGCCCCCCCCACCCCGTGAGTGGCTCTGGGTGTGTGTCCACCTGAGAAGGTTTTGTGTGCTGCTCAGGAGAGCGACGCAGCAGAGAGCCTCTGGTGGCAGCTGAAGAGCAGATCAGTGGGAGACCAGCGCCTTGGACCTAACCAGCCCTCTGAGATACATTCAGGGTCACTCAGACTGAGTCATTTGAAGAGAATTGGATAAAAGGATGGTTTACTAAGGTGTGGGCTGGAGGTAGGGAAATCATAAGGTCAACTGCAGTATCTGGGACTGAAATTGGGCCTGAAGGAACATGGGGAAGGTGTGGGTACTGAAATCCAGAGAGAAAGAGAGTCCTCGAGAGTGTGCACTTGCCAGCACAAGCCCAGGCTCACTATGTGGAGTGGCTACACCAGGGCTGTCGCCTTCAGTCCTGTCCAGGCACAGGGAGGGGGCTAGGGAACAGAAACTCAGACCTCTCCAACCTCCAGCCCTCCACTGTCTTGTCTGACTCCCCACTGGGCTTATCCAGCTGGAAGACAAAGGACAAGTGATAGCCCAACCTCCTGGGGCATAGAGCATAGGACAGAAGAGTGGAGATTGAATCTACTACACAGTGGAGTAGAGAACACAGCAGGAGGGGAGTGCTGTGTGGAGCGATCCAGGGTAAATCCTAGTCTGGCAAATGCGTGTGCATGTGCCGGAAGCGTGCTGAGCCTCACAACGCACTCTTATTTTGGGGTGATGGCAATGACCCGTGCCCACCATCCCCTTGTGTACAAGGTGAGACGTCAAGGTCCTTCGTCCCCAAATGTTCCTGCAAACCCCCAAGCGTCTTCTCCACTCACAGACTGGTGTTTGAACTTCTTCCATTTTAGCTTTTATCTTTGAGCTGAAGGTTCTGCTAAATGTAAACTGTCCTTGACATTCATGACTCCACAAGTAAGGAAAAAAGGAAGCGAACATTTCCTGAGTTTCTACTCTGTGCCTACACCCAATGCAAGAGGTTTGACATTGACAAAATCAATAAATCACACAACAACCTCAGAAGGCAAGTATTATCCACATGGCGGGCACAAGAGCAGGGGGAAGGGGCAGACGGAGAGTGAGCAGGGAGCCTGACTTGGCCCAGGACCCTGGGATAGGGGCCTGACCAGGAGGTAGCCGCTTAACCAATTGAGCCATGCAGGTGCCCCTCTCCCCTCTTA